TTTTTTTTTAAAAAGAGAAACCTTAAAAAAAATCTTTTCTTTTCTTTTTGACAATTGAAGAACCAAAAAACCTAGATTTCCTAGTGACTAACAGCCAAAAAACCACAATCAAAACAAAAGAAAACAGAAAAAAACCCTAGGAATCTGAAGCTAGGGAGAGCCGAGGGGAATTTGTCATTTTCCTTTTGTTCTTCCTCTCTTTTGCCGAATATTTACAAACTTGGAGGATTAGTTTAGGGTTATAGAGGAAATAGGGAGGAGCCATAGCTTGGGAGCGCAACGAGGAAGAGTTTGAAGGTTGGGTTTAGGGTTTGTAAGAAAAAGGTAAGATTTTCAGAGAGAAGGGAAAGTGTCCGCCACTAAAGAGAGAAAATGAAAGGCGAAAATGAAGAGAAGAGGAAGAAAGAGAGCTTTTATACCTAAGGTTAGAAGATAAAATAATGCTGTTTTGGTGAGGACATTTAGGCAACTGAAAAAAGCTTTAAACGATGCCGTTTCAGAGAAAGAGGGGTTGGGTTCTTGAAGCAGGCTTGCGGGCTTCTCACTGGTCCGATCTTCCTTGGGCTAAGTTGGGCTCAAGCTTTGGGTAAGTTTTAAACCTTTGATTTATTGGGTTATGCTTTAGGTATTTGCATTGATTGGTTTTATTTTAGGAAATTGTCTTAATATAGCTTCATGTTAATGATAGTAAAATAGTAGAAACAAAATATACTAATGCTGTAGTATGAATTTTAGAAGTATTAGGAAAGAAAATTACTGAAATAGGAAAATATGAAAATAGATAAGATAAAAATAAAATGTTTAACAATATAAAAAAGATAGGAGTAGTTAGAAAAATATAGGAAAATATATATTTAATTATATAGAAAAAAATAATAAAATTAGGTAGAAAAAGTTATTTAGTTATAAAAATAGATTCAGGAATAAAAAACATATAGGGAAATAAATAAACATTTAATTACAAAAAAAATAGATTTAGGTAGATATTAAATATAGGAAAAGTAAACATTTAGTGGTAGAAAAAGATTTATTTAGATTGATAATATATACATAGAAAAGGGATATATAGTTAGATTTAGAATATAGATTTATTTAGATTGATAATATATACATAGAAAAGGAATATATAGTTAGATTTAGAATATGGTTTGGAACAAATATAAAACATGGGAAAAGGTGAAATGTTAGAAATCATAAAATACATAGTTATGTAGGTTTATATAGATATAAAATGGGAATGAAAATGAATTAGGAAGAATTAAAATTAAAATGTAATGAAACAACATATGAAGGTATCAAATTAGTTGAAAAGGATAGCTTTATATAAAATAGAGAAGAGTACAAATAGGGAGGGAGAATGAAAATAGGATAAGATAAAGAACTACTAATATAAAAAGGATGATTATTTAACTTAATATCAATGATGGGGTGTTCATTCAGGATGCTAGGAGTTGCAATTTTGAATGAATTTTCCTAGGCTCAGGATCTCATTAAAACTCCACCAATATAATGAGAGTGTCTTAATTTTGAAAATTCGATATTTCTAATTTTAAATAAACAAAAATTAGATATACTAAATTAGTCAAAATATAAACAAAATAAATATAGTAATAAATATAAGAGGACAAATGACATATATTTACTTACAGTGTCAAAAGATAAATATGGTATTGTAAAAAATAATAATACTCATGACAATAAATAAATAATAAAAATATTCAGTGATAGAAAATTAATAATAATGAGCACATTTAAAATATAAAAGGTTAATATTTAGTTGCATGAAAAATAAATTTATAATGGTTATAAAAAAGGGAATAGGATAGATAATAAAAAAAAGGAAGAAGTCGAATCAAAATATATATAATTATCAAATAAGATATCTTACCTTAAGCATATAGAATTTAGGTAAAGAGAGAATCTATATAACAAAGCAGATGGAGACCTAAATAACATAATAAATATAATTTATAATATACATGCTTATAAAAAAAATAAAAGGGAAATCTTAAAGAAATAACAAATAAGATATAAGAAGGTTTAGAAACAAATATCAAATTTTATAGACACATCACACATTATTATTGCCTTGTTAAATGTCATAGCGTGTAGATATTTTACATACATGAGTATAAGTCTTGATGATGGGAGTTTTTGAAAGATTTCGCAATGGCGAGTTTTTTTCGAGAAGTTTCTTAGGTGAAAAAATACTTCTAAGTCCCAACAGTATAATAAGAGGGCTCGGAAAATATTTTTAATAAAAAAAGCTTCTACTCGTAATAGGTTCGCATTCACAAAAATATTATTTTTTTTAAAACACGAATGATTACCCTGAGAATGGGATTCATTTGTTAAATTTACGAAGGTAAGTTTTTAAAATATTTTCCTAGAAAAGAGAATATCCTCGGATCTCACTAGTATGATAGGTGGATCTGAGAAATATCCTCAATAAAAAATTTTCGTTTGACATTATTTGTATTTCATATCATGCATTTCATGAGCGCATCGTGTGCACGTCACACCCGTAAAATCAAATAAAATATTTTAATTTTCTAACAAAATAGAGGACAAACTGAATAAATGATAATTAAGAAAATATAATGAATAAATTTAAGAATTAAGGCTTTACTAAGATAACCTATGATTAAGTAGTACCGTTCATGGAACGAGCGTCACGAGGCGCTAATCCTCTCCCGTAAGTAACTGCACTCTCAAACCTAACTCTAAAAATCATAGACCAATTTATTATTCTTTCTACGAATCTAAAATTAATTTAAGACCTCATCAATTAGAAACAAGTCAATAGGTGACCAATCGTATTTAAGTAAAAAGATTAGTGGTGACACCTAATTTTATCCAAGTCTAGTGATTGAGTTTTCAAATCCGTAGTTACGATAACAATAAAAGAAAATATTTTGTTATCATTAAAAATATATAAAATCAACAACGAGAACACATTGGTCAAATTTTTTTTAAAGGGATAAAAATTATAATTAATTTAATGATAATTTTTAAAATTAATAAATAATAAAATTATTTTTAAAATATTACTATATCATTAAATTAAAAAAAATTAATAATTAACAAATAATAGGAGTAAGGTGTTTAACAAAAATAAATTTTTAAAACGAAATACCCATTTTAAAAATTAATGTAGCTTTTATGAAAAGTCCAAATAATAGCATAGTGGTTCCCTTAAATATCCCTGTCAACGTTAAGCCATGAGCACATGACCCACTGCATGCAAGAATCTGCCAGCCTATTGGTCAGAGCTTGCCAGCCCCGCCTGCCTGCCTTCGTGCCTTGATCTTTGAGCCCATCGCCCTGGTTTAACCCTTTCATTCCTGCATTCAAAAGCTTGTTTTGCTCGGTTAGGTCAATGCCGCTTCGCCTTTCCCCAGAGGCTGCAGCTCCACATAGGAAATTGAAAAAAAAAAAGAGAAAGTAATTAAATGTATTGTTTAAAATGAGCTAAAATATAGAATATTTTTTCATTTAATACATTATTTATATTAAATTCGAAAAAGAGTTTATTAATTATAAGTTTTTTAATGTATATAAATTATTGAAGGGGAAGGTCCCACAAAAACTTTGCTTGCCTTAACGGAAAAGTAACTGAAACGCATTCGGAATTTGATGATGATGTAACTTTCTTCCATTGTGAGTGTTTTACTTGGACGGAGGCAAATGGCTCCATCACACATTCTTCTCTCTCTTTACTATTTCCTTCAATCATATCCCTATTTATGGATTTATCTTTATTCCCAAAAGGGTTTCTGTCTTTACAAATTGTGAAACTATAATCTTTCTCACAACAAATAATTGTTTTCTTTTCTTATTTTTTTATATAATTTTCCATTTTCAAGTTTGCCCTTCTTTGCATAAAAGAAAGCTTTGGTATCACTTCAATAATATTTCTTCATTAAATTATCTTTCTACTCGTCAAAATTAAATGCGTACCATGCACCATAATGGAGGACTTAGCATGCCATAAAACCCTTTTGCCTTCTTTCTTTTGGTAGAATAAAATTATAAACAATTAGGTTGCATAAATAAAATAAGAAACTATTTTAAAAATTTTAAATTATTTAAAAAAACTTATATTTTTTATTATGTTGATTTAAGTTTTTATAATTTTATTTTGAATCATATAAATTTTTATGATTAACAATTGTATCATCTTTATATTATGTGGCTTTAACGTGATACTGACGTGAAAAGTAAAAATAATATATGATCATGTTATTACGTTATATCAGTATTTCACATCATTATCTACTATGATATATTAATACTGTATAACATAATCATAACTGATAGTATTTTTACTAATAACAATTAATTAAGTTTATTTATACAAATCTATATGATCAAAACTAAAAGTATAAATATTTAAATTAATCGTAATAAAAGAATAAAAATTTACTTAAACTTTTTTTAAATGATTCAATAAATTTTTTAAATATTATGTCAAAAAAATATATGAACACGTGATAAATTAATTAATATTTTAGTATATAAATTATTGATGGTGTGAAAAAATGAATTTTTTTGTTGAAATGGAGTAGAAAAAGGGAATCTTAATGTGATATACACATATAAGGAAAAAAAAATGTGACTATCCTAAGTTTTCTAGTGGGATTCCCTAATGTTCTACAAATTATTTTCCAAAGCAACTGAACAAAGAATACTATTTTGGATGTGAATTTAAAAACAATGAAAAGAAAATGAAACTTATCTAACAATCCATTTCTCTTAATTCTCCATTATTCCCTTTCCATATTCTATATTTCCTAATAAATCATGCAACAAACTTTCTTTCTTATTTGGAAATTATATTAATATATTTCCAAATTATTGCAGCAAAATCCTCTTTCAAATATAATAAGCTTTTTTATTTTTTTACCATATATAATTACTGATGTAGATAACAAAATAATTATAAATAAATTACAACAGTAAGAGAAAAAAAATATTTATATAGTCAGTTTTGTTGAAAAAAAGAAATAAAGAAATTTCTTGCAATCGAAGTTACCCACTGAGCTAGTTTCTTCACCATCAATCAAAAACTGCCCATCTCTTTTCTTCACTTCATTTCTTCTTCAATTCTTCCGTCACCCACCAAAGAACCCTATCTTCCGTTCCCCCAGAAAAGTTTTCCCTTTGTTTTTTCACTATGGGTCGTGAAAAAAATTCTTTAGCTGTAGTTCCAGGACCAACGGCAGCGGCGGCGGCGGCGAAGACGGGCGGTTCAGCGACGGCATTAGCACCTGGATTTAGATTCCACCCAACAGATGAAGAGTTGGTTAGCTATTACTTGAAAAGAAAGGTTTTGAACAAGCCTGTCAGGTTTAACGCTATTGCTGAAGTTGATATTTACAAGCAAGAACCTTGGGAACTCTCAGGTTTGAGCTTTTTTTTTTCTTTTTTTAATTCTGTTTTGCTATTTATTTTTCATTTCTATACATTTTTCTGTTTCTTAGATAGGTTGCTGAAAGAATTTGCTCAAAATTTTAGACGTTATCTTGAATTTTATTTTTTAATTTTGGTAAAGTTGAGTTTTCATTTTTTTTTTGGAAGTGTCCTGAGTTGAAAATTTGAAAAAAATGGTTTTTGCTTTCCTTTTCTGTAATTGTCTACTTGGGTAAATGCAGTGTTCTTCAAAAGCCGATTTTTTTGAAAAAAAAAAATTAGAAGGATTATCTGTTCAAAGTTTAGGAATGCATTGAAAAAATTGTCTTTTTTTTTTTTCCTATTGTTCAGTGTTTCTCCACTAGGTAAATGCAGTATTTTTGGCTATCCCTTTCTTTTAGGATATGGGTTTTCTATCCATGTCGATATTTCTTCTTATTTTAAGCTAAGAGTGTTTGTGGGTTTCTATTTCCTGTTTTTTCTTTTTTAATTTTGTGATTTTTATCTATTTTTTGTTGTTTGGAATAACTTGGCTATCACTCTTAAACTGTAGTCTGCGGTTCACTGGATGGGTTTTAGTTCATTTTGAACTAAGGTGATGAAGTTTCTTATCTGTGATTGTTTTTAGACAAGTCAAGATTGAAAACCAGAGACCAAGAGTGGTATTTTTTTAGTTTATTGGACAAGAAGTATGGGAATGGGGCAAGAATGAATAGGGCGACAAGCCAAGGATACTGGAAGGCCACAGGGAAGGACAGAGAGGTTCGCCACAATTCTCAGCTTATTGGGATGAAGAAGACCCTAGTCTTTCATAGCGGGAGAGCTCCAGATGGGGTGCGAACCAATTGGGTTATGCATGAATACCGGCTTGTCGAAGAAGAATCGGAAAGAATTGGGGCATTGCAGGTTTGAGACCATATAAATTGATATTGATGGTGATGATGATCTGTTATGTAATTGCAAGTATCAATGTTTTGGGTTTACACCTTTATGTATATTACAGATTGCACCCACATTTAAACTATATTGGATGACAGGAAGTATAGAATTTTAACATGAAATACTTAGCATAATGCCTTAGGTGATGGATGCTGCTGCATTGCTCTGATTATACCGAAGAGCTGACATACTGGAAACACATTTGTGTATGAAAAGGAAAGAGTTCGAATTGTTTGTATGTGTGCTGCTTTGGTTTCATCACAATCTGGTTGCTGAGAAAATTTTGGAAATGAAGAATAGATGTGGTTCTGGATGTTGTGTTTTATGATGTTCTTATGTGATAAAGAAATTCATTTGTGCACCTAGCTTGATTAAGAAGAATTAGGATTTCTATAGGGTCGTTAGTAGTTTGAAACTTTTGCTTAGAAAGCATGCAATTTTCTCAACAACCAAACTTTACTATTGTTCAAATTTGGAAACTAATCTTATAAGAATTGTTTCTTTCTTTTTCCTTCTTTCTTTTGACTGGAGAAGGGGTATGTCCTATGTAGAGTATTTCATAAGAATAATATAGGACCTCCCAATGGAAACCGATATGCACCTTTCATTGAGGCGGAATGGGATGATGGTTCAGCAGCTTTGATTCCAGGAGTAGATGCTGTGGATGATGTTGTAGCTGCTAATGATGCGGTAGCCGGCAATGATCTGGCAGCTGCTGAGAATGGTGTCCAAAGGATTGATTTTGAGCAGGTTTGTGCTTTATTTTTCTAGCTAGTGCGTTTTCATGCTATTGAACTTTATTATAGGTGCTCATCATCTTCATAGTGTTGAACTTTTTGTAGATCCTCGCTTTCATGACTTCATGTTTTAAAGTATTGTACAACAATTTCACCAACTTATTATTGCTAGTGTAATGTGAGATGGCCTGCAAGTGATGCAACATGAGAAGATAAGCCTCTATAATGGTTTAATCAAGATAATGAAACATGCATGCGAGGATAATTTTTTTTAAAAAAAATTCCCTTGTAAGTTTTGGATCATTTTGGGTAATTTGTTGTCTTTAAGTTTTCCTCTTAGCCTGTGTTAGATGATATGGAACAATACAAACCCCTTGTGTATTTGCTAATAATAAAAAAGAATAGTAAACTTCTGTGCTTCTGTGTGCTGACAGAATTGAATAAGTCTTAGAGGTGGCAAAATAAACCCAAACCCGAAAACTGCCTAAACTGATCGAACCCAAATTGACCAAAAAGTCAAAGACCCAAACCTGAAAGAATCTGAACCCAAAATGACCTAAACTTCAAATGACCTGAACGTGAGACCTGTCTGACCCAAAGCCGTAATAACCCGAACTTAACACTAAGAATGCAATTTTTTTTTTTGAAAAATACTAAAATGCAAAATTTAATTAGCAATTTCATTCAAACGAAACACCTTGTGCTTGAAATGACCCAAACTTGAAATGACCTGCCCCTGATGTGACCTGAACCCACCTGTTTGCCACCTCTAATAATTTTATACTAATTTGACTTTTTCACTAATGGAAGATTCCATTCCTAAGAACTGTCTCATTCATCCTTTTATTTGTCTCAAAGATTCTTCCACAATGGCAAATAATATTTTGAGATAGCCTGCTAATTGCTCACTTATAAGGACAATTTTATAAAAGCAAGTTTTATAATATCTTTGGTCTTCACCAGGGCATCAACTGGACTACTGGTATTAGGGAGGAACTTTGAATAAAATGATTTTAGAGAATCCTTTTGAGGTGGGGGTTGCTAGTGCATTTAGGAATGTGCTCGTTCTTTTGGTGCCTTTTCGGAGATATTAGAGTTGCCCAGCAATCATTGTGACTAGTGGGGATGCAATATTAGGCTCAAGGTGGCCATTGTGATTGAATTAGTTACCAACTTTTCTAGAATTGCCAGTAGGATTCATTAGCATTCCTATGTTAGAGTACCTTTATAGTTCTGATAGACATAAGGTTGATATGGTATGGTGGACTGGTGGTGAACTCAGACGCCTGATGATTGTATCAGTTAAGTAGTTGAAATTGTACAGTCTCAACAGTTCTTCCTCTTTGTCTTCACTGTGTTATTTTGTAGCTTTCCTCCCCTGAGGGGTAACAATATGGATTCCCTACTGGAATATCAACAAAGCTCAAAAAACTTTTCTGTATCCCTTAACTATGAAAATAAGAGTGAAGCAAGTGGAGTTCATAGAGACTCAACCAATGATGCTTGCGGTAGATGTCTTGCACATCCATGATATGCAGTAGTTTCTTTGTCTTTCTTTCCTTTTTTTTAGTGGGGGGTTTATGAGTACAATATTCGTTAAGAGGACAAGGCACTTGTAGATATATGGAGGAGCCTTGTCCTGGTGAGACAGCCATGGTTTTGCTCATATGTTGTCATGTTGACAGTTATGGCTTAAAGAATGTGAAAGATCTGATATGTTACCTTCTGTTTGTTTGTTCCTTTCTAATGAAAAGATCATCTTGTTGATTACTGGAGTATGTGGGAAAGTATGTGTTAAACCTTTTCCTATAAGCCTAGAGCATGCATCGCAGTCATTGTATGGGATTACACATTTGGCACTGACAGATGTGGGTCTTGCTAAATTTTCTGATATAGATGAAGATTGGTATGAATTAACAAAAATGCCTAAGGTTATGATGTGAGTATTTCCCAGCAGGGTTTTTTCTGCAGTGTTGATATTCTTTTCAAATTATAGGCTGCATTATCTGCAGTAACAAGCTCATGGTGTATAAGAATATAAAAAGTTTTGCATCTTGTGCTGGCTAATATAACCCTATAATTTCCTTGTGTTTCGTTAGTAATAAGTTTTCCGGGCTGGCTTTGCTTAAAAGCTTTTGGCTGATTTTGCTCTCTGATGAAGTGACATAAATTTGGAGCACAAGGAGCATTTGCACCCTGGTGTTATAAACAATACCGAATTCATATCATGAGCATTCAGCCCTAAAACTTAAAGAGTCTCTGACTATTCTTAACCCAGAAGGGAAATTGAGTCCGCTTACTCCAACTCTTGAAAACTATTTGGAGGCGAGGAAGTCTAGGCTTTTTAATTCATTCTTAAGCAAATTGTCTTGTTAACCTTCAAGTAAACTTACAAGCCCACGAAAAGAATGCAGCCAGATCGGTGGTTTGGTCCCTAATAGCCCGTATATTTCAAGTGTCACATGTGGTAATATTGGCATGTTTTGACTTTTAGAAAGAGGCATGTGCAGGGATTTTTCACTTTAGCTATGATGCTGCTGTCTTTTTCTTGTGTTGTCCCTTGGAGAAGGCAGATTCATCGACTCCCTAGATTAAACATTGTACTGAAATCCCTATAGAGTAAATGCATCATGCTATGAAGCATGTTGACGAAGAATGGTGGCATTGTGGTTGTTAAACTGAATTGTTTGTGTTCTGCATCTCTTCCTGTATCTTGTGGCACTTTTATATCTTGTTTTTTGTTTTCTATCTCAGAATAAATGGTTGATAGTCTTTGCTTGTGAATTCAGTTTTATTTTAATATTTATTTTATCGAATTGGCTGGACTTATTTCAAGTATACTTCTTATTTCAGTTTTGACAATGGACATAACAAATAGTATTTGATTCTTAATTCTGCTATGATGATCACTGATGTGTTTTATTGTCTCCTAGAAGTGAAGTATGTGCAACGTTTTATATGTCACCCAATATATTAAGATGAGTTTTATATGGCATGAAATGTAAAATTCAACCATAATGGTGCAATGACTATCGGTAGCTAGACACCCAATTTTTTTAGTTGTGTGGTCATCCATGCCTAATGTTTTATGCTTCCTTCATTTTACCTTTCTTTTTCCTCCTCCTATACAAGTCGGATAATACTGTTACATTAACCTAAAGTCATGTGCCTCTTTGTATTCTTAAGCCTCGATTGAAGAATTGCTTCTGAAGCTTTTATAATGGCAGGACATTCAATATGCTGATGAGGATACTCCGCCAAATGATGAAGTTCCAAGAGAGTCGCTGAATGAGAGAACAGATGACTGTCCTCTGTTGCCTCCATGCAAGATTGAGAGATCAGATGATTGCCCTCCGCTATGTGTGCTTAATAGAGAAGCACCCTTACCTCTACTCCAGTATAAGAGAAGGCGACATAATGATTCAGGTCCTAACCATGCCAATGTTTCTGAGAATTCAACTAGAACAACTCAGGACCGTTGCTCGTCTACAACGACAACAGCAGCGACAGCCACAACATCACCGTCGTCAGCGACTACAACAGCAATATCAGCACTCTTGGAATTTTCTTTGATGGAATCAATAGAACCCAAAGAAAATCCTCATGTTCCTCCTCCAACATATGATACTGCTAATCTAGATTCTGTGGTGCCTCCTGGTTGCATGAAACTTATTAATGAATTGCAGAATGAGATCCACAAAATATCTGTTGAGAGGGAGACATTGAAGCTTGAAATGATGAGTGCCCAAGCTATGATTAATATTCTGCAGTCAAGAATAGATTCTCTAAGCAAAGAAAACGAGGATCTAAAGAGGAGCAACTGAGATGTGTAGCATGGGGAGACTAGCTACTCCTGTGAGTCCCCTTATTTATGTATGAATTATTGTTCACCTTGGTCATTGTAAAATTTGAACGACATTAGCATTTGGTTTGTTGTTGAACAATGTTGTAGCTTTCTTGTTTAGTTAAAAGGCCTAGTTGATGATACATTTTGATCCGTCTACCCAAATCTCCCTTTCTCAAATAAATAGAGAAGGTCATTTCATTTTTATAAGCTGAAAATTTCATGATTACGATTTTGTTTCTCACAAGTAAGAGCTCAAACAAATTTGTAATAGCATGGACATGTAACAGTAATTATGCTCCAAAAGCTCTATTTTGTGATGTTTTTATTGATTTTAGATTTTATATACATAGATTGTTAATTTTGCTATTTTTTATTTTAAAAAACAAGAAATAAATTCACAATTAATTAAAAACCAAGAAATCAATAGAATTCACAATGAATTCTATCATAACTATTTTATATTTAAATTAAAAAACAAATTATTATATTTTTTCTTTTTTTATTGTATAAAAATTTTCAATTTAATCCTTAATTCTTTAAAAATTTTATTTAAATAATATATTATGAACAATAATAAGACCTCATGATATTTTGTTAATACAATTGAGTTAATTTGAAAAATCAAATTCTTTAATTTTATGATCTCTTTTAAAATTATCACTATTGAAGCACAGATGGCTAAAGTCAAGTAAGTTATCAAGCATCGGCAAAACCATAAGGTGGTTTGTGGTGGCAATCATCGTTCTTTAATTTTTAATTTTTATTATTATAAGTACTTTTATAATTATTTTTTAATTATTTTTTTAAAAAAATCGAATTCACTGCTTAGAGCTCTGTACCATGTCAAAAATAAATATTAGATTGGAAACAAAAAGAGTAATAAATACTGTATATTTATTTGATTTTAATTTTAAATTTAAATCAAAATATCGCTATTGAGAAAAAAAAAATCGAAACATCTTTACACAAAATATTATGTACTATATGGCAGGCGGAACTCAGCCCGTATCCAGTCTGGACCGGGCCGAAAGCACTTCTATGCCTGAGCCCAAGTTCAAACAGCCCATTAGAATTTTCGTTTTGTGAAGAATGACGTCGTTTTTTAGTGGTGGGTGTTGATCTCTTCTTAAGCTATAAATGCAAACGATACAGCACCTCACTTTCTCTTTACTCTTTAACGCCGGTCTCTCAGCCCTCAAGAAAGCACCGAATATATGCATATTTTGTAAGTATTTATTTATTTTAATTTTACTATTTTTTTCATATTATTTCTTTGCTTCATTTTGTTTCTGGGTATTTAACAATCTACTTTCTCATTTTGAATGTTATTACTTTTTTTTTCCTTTCTTGAGATTTTTGCTTGAATTTGCTATCTGGGTTTTTTGTTTTTTTGCTTCAACAAGAAATGTTAGATTTTGAGACTTTAATTTCCATGATTTTTTCTTATTTTTAGTTTTAACTGTGGGAAAAAAAAAAACTTTAATTGGTCAACATTGGTTAGTTTAGGCTGTAAAAAGATATCTGTTTTTTTTTAAATGAATAAGATGCATATTTATAGATTTTTATCTAAATAAAAACTTAGTTCTTATTGTTTGTATTGGCATTTTATATTTTTAAGGGTCACTTTGGAATTGATTGTTATCGGTTTGGTTAAGTAGCATGAAATATAATGCTTGTAAGGAGTTGAAGAAGTGGAAATAGTTGCACCTAAGCATTTGGCGTAATGGTAGCTGCGCTTATTTTTTTAGCAGGATCCTAATCCTCTTAGATATATTTGTATATGTGGTGGATTATATAGAGAGAGTGGATATGGTCTTGCAAAAGTTCAAAGTTTAGATTTTTGTAGAAAGATAATTTGGGTTGAAAAGAAAAAAAATAGTCTAATCTCTATTAGGCCATAGGGGAAAGTATAGAACATTGCGCCATTTCATCGGAGAAGTTGTTTTAGAGGCTCATATGCTATCAGTTTTAAATGTTGTTGCTTGAACTATTTCATGTCCATTACTATAGAAACTTGACCACAAGATTTCGGAAAGAGTTTCTTCTTGGAAAATGTTCCTATGTATGAGAATAGAATGAGAATATATATATAACTACAAAATTTTATGGTTCTCTGATTTTGTGGTTGATTTTTTCTTCATAGGTTAAACCCAGGTTAATTTATCTTTTCTACTGCAGGGCTTCTTCCTCTCTGTTTCTGTCTTTGATCCATTCTTTTCCTGCTTTATAATGGCGACTAGTAAGTTTCATTGTAGTCTTCAGTATGTATATGAATTTGAATCTTCTTTTGATGGTACTAAGATAGTCATAACATTCATATGGCTTATATCTCTCTACATTGGTATTGTTAAACTTTTAAAATTGACCACTCATATTATTTTGGAGTAAATATATAACCATGAGTAATGCTGTCATTTATGAAGGGCTTCGGTTTGAAAATTCATGTGAAGTTGGTGTCTTTTCCAAGCTAACCAATGCTTACTGCTTGGTTGCAATTGGAGGGTCAGAAAGCTTCTATAGGTTAGCATGTCTTCTACTATTCTCGTTTTCCCTGTTTTCTTGAATGTGTTAAGTTTATATTGGCATCTTGCAGTGCCTTTGAGACAGAGTTAGCAGATGTTATTCCAGTCATTAAGACCTCTATTGCTGGCACTAGAATAATTGGAAGGCTGTGTGCTGGTGAGAAATTTTTTAAGAATTTCTTAGTCTTATTTGAAAAGTGTTGCTAGATGCCTCTGACTTTGCTTAATGTGAGTTTGCTTTGTGTTGGCAGGAAATAAGAATGGCCTTCTTGTCCCCCACACCACCACAGATCAAGGTAATTTTTTGAGTTATCCTAAAGATGTTAAAGTTGCTTCTATTGTTAGTATTACTCAGTGGGATCTGAACATTGACAATATGACAATGTACAATTTGGTTTCTTGTACTGTTTTGCTTTTACTTGAAGCCTACTTGTTATGTTTAATCCCTGCTATTTAGAAATGTTAATCCTTAGCTTGTTCATAGAACATACAAGTAAAATGGTTTATCTTACAGTATGTTTACCTAGAATATGAACAATTAGTAAACCTGGGCTCAATTTGAATAAAATATATCCCTTTGCTTATATATATCCTGCCTCTAATGTGATTTAGATATATGGCCTCTAATGTGATTTGCCAAGTGCAAGTTGGTTCCGTTTTGCATGTAAGCCCTAGAGGCTATCAATCACATTCCTTTGTCTTTGTAGGCTAATATTGTATGTTTGTTCTAGTTCACTAGTTATAGTTTAAACTCAGTCTCTGACATTAATGGTAGATTATTTATTTTATTCTTTCTTATTGAAGAACTTCAACACTTGCGGAATAGTCTATCAGATCAAGTTGTTGTACGGCGAATAGAGGAGAAACTATCTGCTCTTGGGAACTGTATTGCATGCAATGACCATGTTGCTCTGACACACACTGATCTAGACAGGGTAAAATTCTATATTTCACTGGAATAGTTGACTAAGATATATATTCCAATATCTAAGTGCAATGATGAGGGCTAACCTGTGTTCTATTTTTATTTTGAATGAAAGTAAGGATAGGTTTGAATTTGCATCTTTGATGTTCGCTCAAAAGTTAGAAGTTCCCTAAAGACTATAGATATTGGTATTGACTAAACCATGGCTCAGTACTTATAGACCTCTACCTGGCCTAGAAATCTTGGTTTGAAATGATAGCTAATGTTTTGAATTAGCCTTCTAAAATCCCCAAGGATTGTATGTCTATTCCTCAATGCCTCAACATTGAAAAGGGATTTTTTTTTGTGTCATAAGTAGCGTATTAGGAAAGAAAACATCAGAACATGGTTTCTTAAGCCTTAGGTACTCGTGAAAAATTTCCTTCATGATTCTTCCAGGGCATCCTTCTGGGCTTTTCCATGTCATGGGTGGTTGACTCAGGCATGAATGTGTAATCTTCTTCTATATTTCAAGATATTACAATAAAGGATACTTATTATGTTGTTCTGTCTGCCACTTTGATCAGGAAACTGAGGAGATAATTGCTGATGTCCTGGGTGTAGAAGTATTCAGGCAGACAATCGCTGGTAATATTCTTGTAGGGAGCTACTGTGCCTTCTCTAACAGAGGCGGCTTGGTAAGATGGAATCTCTTCTTCTAGCACTGATGATTGCCTCTTATTTCCTCCCTTACTTTTTTTTCTGATTTTTCCTCTTGAATGGTCCAGGTCCATCCTCATACATCCATTGAAGACTTGAACGAGCTTTCGACACTTCTTCAGGTTCCATTGGTGGCTGGCACTATCAACCGAGGGAGTGAAGTAATAGCTGCTGGAATGACTGTAAATGACTGGACGGCCTTCTGTGGGTCAGACACCACAGCAACAGAACTTTCTGTCATTGAGAATGTCTTCAAGCTGAGGGAAGCGCAACCTAGTGCTATTGTAGATGAGATGAGGAAATCATTGATCGACAGTTACGCTTAATCTCCCTTCGTCTGGTTCTGCTCATCCTTTGTCTAAATTCAAGTCGATAAAATGTTCGGGTGTTGTTTCTATGTCATGTTGAACTCTAAAATGGAAAGTGTAAATTTTGAAACAGTGTGAAAGGTTGATTTGTGATGAAGTGAAGAACACCTGAAAATTATTTGTTTTCATCTTATGTAAACGTTTAATGCATCTTTCTCTTGTGGTACGTAGAAATGCATCATTAAGACTTCTAACTATCACTACTATAAAATTCTATCTAGTTGAGTAATCAGGAGACTCTTTGTAGCAGGGGAGTTCAAACCTTGTTCTTCTCTTATCTTTCTATGCAAGTTCTATTTTTGGTCAGGTCTCTGAATTGTTTCATATGGTCTTTTTACTTGTCAACCCGACATAAAAGTCAAATTTTGTCAGTTTTTACCGTTTTATCTTAAGAGAATATATTTCTGTTTTGAAGGCTATCCTTCACTTTTAACAAGCATAATTGGAGGAATTATTGAGAAAATAATATTACAGTATGTAAAATATTGTTGCAGGTATTTTATGGATAATTTGATATTAATTTTTAATTTTTTTTAAAAAAATTAAAGATAAATAATAAAAAAATAAAAAAATGTGGAATGTTGCTGTATGTTTGACTGTTTCCTTTGGACTATTCCAAGATTGACTCAAAACACATGACATTTTCTTGTTAAGATTTTAAAATTAATTAATTTTATATAATTTTGAACAGAAAAGTATTTTAATAAGACCAAAAAAAAAAGAGAGTAAGAAAGGATTATCCTGTGTTGTCCGGTAAAGCGGAGAAATGTCAAAGACAGACAGGAGTCTAAATCAAGGAACATTGTGGGAAACAGATATTTCCGTGTATTGCAAGGAGAAAAAGAACACGATAAGGTTTCAAAACGATTGTTCGTTTCCTAAGAAATCAATTTAAGGAATATTAATGTACTTCACATAAAAATAAAATAAAAATAATCACATTGGAACTCACACTTACATGTTCTTTCCATAAAACAGAACAAACATATTCCTCCAAACATTACAAGTAAATTACAGCATAGTTTATTTTAATAATTATGCCTATAAATTTTAAATTATTTTTTAAAAATTAAAAAAGTATTTATTATTTTATTATGTTAAATCAAGGTTTTATATTTTATTTTGGTCTAAATAAATTTTTTTATGATCAATAGTTAATGAATTGTCATTAAATTAATTAAAATGATACTTGTCATTTTATGTTAAAGTGGATAATAATGTAATATGATAATATGATGACGTGACTATTTTTGTCTTTTCATATTTATATCATGTGAGTATAAAATGATAAGTAGCATTTTGACTTGGTTAATATTGATTCTTAAAATTTATTTGATTAAAAATAAAAAGATAGATACCTAATTGAATATAATAGAGAAATAAAAGCATATTTAAATTTTTTTAATAACTCAAGAATTTTTTAAATTAATAATTCCTTCAATGTATTAAAAATCATCACATTAAGGATCAATTATGTATTTAATATAAAAATAATACTATAAATAATATTTAAATTAATATAAAAAAAGTAAAATTAAAAGCTTTTTCAATCTATCTATCTCTTAAAAATAAAAATCAAGCTAAAATTTTAAGAAACTCTTTAAAATTTTTTTTTCAAAACAAGCTCAAGAGAGAAGCTTTCTTTTATCTTTTTTTTTTTGAAAACATGCCCTTTTTTAAGAAAATTTTTTTTATCTCAAAAATATCTTTATCTACTAAAAATAATTTCAACATTATTCGTTTTCATTTTTATATAATTTATTATTAAT